ACCCCCGTCTGTTTTCCTGGGGTTTCTCTTTGGGTGACCTGTCAGAACCTCAGCTCCCAGTGCAAATCGGATAATCCTGTGATCCGACAGTGCGGGCTCAGATGAGACCCGCCACTAACCGATCAGAGGACTGGCCAGTCTGTTGCTGAGAGTGATGTCAAGTACCTCCTCTCTGACCCTAGTTATGAACGTTGGTTCATTACCGACATTGCGGATGCACAGGTCTTCACTAATAATGTATTCTAATAGGCACTCACCCCTACGGTTTGTGTCCGAGCTGCCCCACTCTATATTGTGGGCGTTCGCATCGCAGCCGAGAATCGCCGGAAGTCGTTTCCTGCGGCAAAATTTCAACAGCTGCTGTACCTCATGAGGCGGCACGTTGGCGTTGTCCCCCAGAAAGTAGGCTGCAGCCAAGACCACCTCCTGTTTCTTCCCGTTAACCTTTAAAGTAGCTATAGTATATATATTATATATATTATAAGAATTATTACAGGTTTTCTGACGGGACACTGTAGGCTCAGAGGGCACCTGTATAAACTAGGTATCTGGTCCAGCGACCTGTGTCGTTTTGCCATGCGGCCAAAGAGACTCCTCTACACCTTCTTATGGAGTGTGAGGCCGTTGCACGCAGGAGGTATAGGAGCATAGGGCACGTCTGGCCAAGACAGGAAAACATACTCTCACAGTCCCCGGGGTGTATTACGAAATTTATAGACACTCTGGGTCTGGTTGAGGTGTTGTGATCAGCTAGGGACACAATAGACCTACTGGTCGCAGTGCCATACCCAACCAACTAACTATCTATCTATCTGCGAATAGTCATCTCGATTAATAAACCAGCCGACATTGCTTCCGCGGAACACCGGACCTATGTCAAGTTTTCAAAAGCCGACTGGAAAGGCTTCGCGAATGTTACTAAAAAAACCTTCACTGCACTACCCACACCAACCGGCGTTCACGTACGTGAGCGTAAATTCCACAGGGTTTTCATTGCTGCTGCAGCCCGCTTAGTTCCAGCAGGCTGTATTTCAGATCCCCGTCCGCATTTCCCTGCTGAAGCGGCTGTCCTAGCCGATGAGCGTGACAACCTTCGTCAGGCCGATCCCGGAAATCCCCGTATCAGGGATCTTAACTCGGAAATTCGGCAACTTGTGAACGTACATACGCGGACGAAGTGGGAAGAGCATCTGAAGACCTGCATATACGCATCTGGTGTGAGTAAGCTTTGTGCAACCGTGGTCATTGTCCAACCCGACGAAGCGTGACGACTGAGTTCAATAACCCTCTCCCCTACAAAATTCTCAGTAACACTCTTTACCACCTGGACGAAGGAGCTCACACTACAACTGGGATTTCACGTCGATACCAACCAATTTCGACGGTGAACAACCCGAATATACTCGGTGTAACCTTCAACAGTCTGCTCTCCTTCGCGGCGCATACAACCGCAATTGTCAACAAAGTGCAAAGCCGCAACAAGTTCCTCAAGTCGCTAGGCTAGCCGGCAGCACCTGGGGGAAAGATAAATAAACGTTGCTGGCAACGTAAAAGACAGTTGGCCGGCCAGTTCTGAACCATATAGCGCCTGTGTAGTTACCGCAGACCTGCCAAAACACGGCACTCAGGACAGCGGCAGGATGCTTTCCGATGTCGCCGCAACATCACCTGCACGACGAGACCCATATACTCGCCGTTAAGGAGCATAACACAATGCTCTGCAAACAGATTCTAGGTGGGAGCCACAGACGTGGCCACCCAAATAGAGGTTCATCGCACAACCTCTGGACCCGACAGCTTATCTACAAGCCTTGAAATTTACTATATCTGTGCACTAATTTATTAAAGTAAAAGTGAACTTTAGCGGAACCAGGCGTCCAACTCCTTTTTGCGTAGGCGGCCTTCGGCAGCACTTAGGGATTATAACCCTCAGGCAGTAGAATTCTCCTTTCTGTGTTGCCAAAGAAGGGGGACTGAACACCTTTTGCAGAGAACAACTTTCATTTACTCCATTTATTTGCGTCAAATTCATAAAAACTTGGTGCGAAAAGTGCAAAGTGCAAGTGTTATTTGCGAATAACTCTTAAATTAATTAAAAATCTTAATCTAATCCTGGTTCCCGTAAAGTGCACTACTACCTTTATTAATAATGTCGGTTGGAAATATGGTATTTTTTGCAAATTTCCGAGCTGAGCTGTCAAACAAAAAATATCCAATTAATATCTCTGCAAAAGGTGTTCAGCCCCTCTTCTTCGGCAACACAGGAAGCAGAATTCTATTCAGTGAGGGTTGTAATCAGTGTTGCCAAGCCAAAAATGTATCCAAATGTATCCAATTTTCTTTTTTTACATATACATCTCATAATTTGTAAGAAAACCAAACATTTTCATAAAAAAGACATAATTTAACCCGTCTTAAGGACTTGGAATACATGTGCATAAAATGAAACATTTGTAATTTTAATTTATAAAGTACATTTTTTGTGCATAAGTATTTTGCAAAGTAAATATAATAAATAGCAAGTACACTCTAAAAAGAGCATGCAAAACTACTACTGAAAAGTATCTATTTTTCAACAAGAATCTGTATAAATATACGTATAAGATGTTCAGTATTTGATTTTGAACTTGAGATCTTTAAAATATACACATAAATACACATATATAGAATGTTTAAAATTGCAAAAATTTTCAAACTACAAATACATTTGAGTAGTCTACTTGCAAAGTGCGCTATGTAAATTTTTTCGATTCTTAGTTTTTGGCGGATTACGTACCAGTATTTAAAGTAGTTTCATGTCCACTAACAACGGAGTGCAAAATCTTTTTATATTCTGAAAAAATAGCATCAAATGTTAAGTCTTCTTCCAAAAGTCGCTATCATACTTATTTATGAACTTTCAAAAGTATCAATCTTCTGATGAACTTAGAAAGCTGCTTTAGGTCGTATAGACTGTTAATGTTATCTTATGACATGTTATGTTATGTTATAATTTTATAAGGCTCCTATTTATCCAAATTTTCAGGTAATAATAAAAAGGATTCAATTTAAATGTTAATTGTTGTCGTAGTCGCTTTTTCAAATTTATGGCTTTCTATTATAAAATCACATAACGCTGTTTGCAAGTGGACTACTCATTTCCTACTAATAATAAACATTACTTTATTTTAAACATGTTATGTGTCATTTTGCTCTTGCGACAAATTTGGTATGTAAGAGTAAACAGGCAATGATTCATTTTATTACACGGCGTGCGAATTTGCACACATTAAAAGAGGAAACTGGTTACCTCTCTTAATATGCGCAAATAAACAAAATTTTTTTAGTGTATTTAAAGTCTTTTTAGTAAAATTCATAAAAGTCTCCTTAAATAAATCAAAGTTAGTTTTTTAAACTACATTGAAATCTTCTTTCTTTTTAAATTAACAAATGAAAATATGTGATATGAAAGAGATTACTACAGAAAGAGTATAATTTACTTTATATACATATGTATACCGTCGTTTAAAGTACAAAACCGCGTATCGTCATTCTGCAAAATCGCGTAACTGACATTTGCTGCCAAAAATTGGATTCGCTCACACAAGCTCCTGGCTCAATCCTTATCCATTTGTCCTGAAATATACTAGTCAGAAATGCGATTGCTTTATAAAAAAGAGAACCATTTTGAAATATAAGTGTTTTTACTCTAGAAAATAATTTACGCAACGTCACATACGCGGTTTTGCTTTTTGTTGATACGCGGTTTTGTACTTTAAACGACGATATGTATATTAAGAAAGCACCCTTTAAGCTAATTAAAGCAATTGCGCGTATACCTATTTTGGTGAGATCTCTTCATATGTTCATTGCTTCGTTCACAAAAAATAAAATGCTTTAATTTCACGCTTAAGTAGCGATTCTTTATACGTTCAGAAAACGTAATGCTTTCTACCATCTTTAATGAAAATCGATTTTTGAACGAAAAAAACTTTATAGGAAATATAAAATTTTGGCCTATTTAAAAAAGTATCCACAGTTATACTGACCGGAAAAAATAAGTACCCCGCAAAAATTCGTCTAAAAATGTATCCAATTGGATCTATTTAGATCCAAGCGGCCTCCCTGGTTATAATACAAAAGCAAAGCACAGCGAACGGACGTGTTTTGGACTGCTCCGAAATAGTTTATAAATTGTGATATTTTGAAACTCAAAACGGAAAGGAAAAATATCGAATGTGTAACATTGGATAAAACAATTTCATTCAGTTAAGTTTCGGAGTCGATAATGCAACCCTGCTCCTACTAGTTTAAGTAAATTATTGTAATGCAACCCTGTAAAGAAAATGAATAAAGAGAAAAGGAGGAAGATGGCGGTCACTTCCTTTTGGGCGAAAGAATAGAGGACACGCATTAATTGACTAAAAATTCAATCCGCGGTAATCCGCTAGCTAAATCCAAGGTAAATAGCAATTTTACAGCTCAGGTGTTGGGTTATTACCCCGATCATCGAATTTCATCAATAATTTCAAACAATCACGAGAAATGGCCAACCCACGCGAGGATATAACCAAGGCCTTACAACAAGCTGGTGTGGCGTTCCCACCCTCAGCCACGACGCAACAGCTACGTAAACTTCTGCTAAACGTGGTTTGTGATAATAGGAACACCACTACCTTTGCCGATACCGCTGATGCCGCATTTACTGCCTCAACCAACACTGCCGGCACCATTGCCGACATTGCCGTCACCGCTGCCACCACCGCTTATACCGCCGCCACCACCGCTTATACCGCCGCCACCACCGCTTATACCGCCGCCACCAACGCTGCCGTCACTACCGCTGTCAATACCGCTTCCATCACTACCGCCGCCGCCGCCACCGCTGCCAACACTACCGCCGCCGCCGCCTCCGCTGATTCTGCCGCCACCACCACCGCTGATACTGCCTATTCCACTGCCGATACCGCCGTCTCTATCGCCAATAACACTGCCGCTCTGGTATCTGAGAATGCCACTGAAATAGCCAGGTCAGTACTCACTGAACTAAACGCCGAAGTGACGGCCCTTAAAAAGCGCTTGGAAATACTTACGCTACGCAGACAGATAGAAGAACTGGAGCGCCCTCCCAATAGTAGACGACAAGGTCGCCTGGAATTCGGCGATATTGAGCACGCTCTGCCTAAATTTAATGGCGACGACGTAGCCTATCACGTTCGCCATTTTCTGCGAGATTTTGAGGAAATAATGGAGTCCTCAGGGGCTGACGACAATTTTCGCTTGCTTGCCCTGCGCCGATCCCTAACAGGCACAGCGAAGGTATTTTTATCGACCACGGCCGCCCTAAATTACCAGGCGCTAAAAGCAGCGCTATCAAGCGAATTCGACGCGGGAATCACAAGGCAAGAAGTGTACAAAATGCTGTCGCAGCGACGCTGGAAGAGGAAAGAGGAGACGCTCCACTGCTACACGCTAACCATGCAGGCCATTGCGAAGCGCGCCAATATCGCCGATACGGAGCTGATAGACTTCATAATAGACGGCATCGGGAACACTACCCCGCATGCCCACATCCTGATGACGGCACGAAGCGTAGAGGAATTAAAAACCCTTATAAACCGGTACCAACACAAATATTTCGTGACCGGGGCGGTGCAGCCATCTAACCAGCGGCAGACAACGGCGCCGAAACAAACGGACGATTCGAAGCTGAAGTGTTTCAACTGCTCCCGGAACGGGCACATAAAACCAAACTGCCCATTCCCACTAAGACCGGATGGTTCCTGCTTCAGGTGCTGGAAGATGGGCCACGACCATCGCTCATGTCCATATCCAGCAAAGCTTCTGAAGAGACGCGAAGTAGCCACTGTCGCCGAGGATGAAGACGACCAACCAGGTGCAATTGGCGCTTTTAACTCTGTGAGTATAGCTTTTAAGACAGTTACGGTTCCAATTACTTATAAGGTAACCTCTCTTTTCGAAACTGGCAGTCCGATTAGTTTTGTAAAGGCATCACTGGTCCCAAAACAACTAGGGAAAAAACATATGGTTGATAGAGGCCCCAGTTATAAAGGCATCGGTGGAAGCAAAATTAAAATACTTTATAAAATGAAATGTACAATTGAATTCTTGAACAAAAAAAAACGAAATTGAATTAAATGTTATTGAAGACAAAAGCATAAATTTGCCAGTTATTTTGGGACGTGATTTCCTCAATAAGTTTAACATTTGTCTGACTAGCGCAACAGATAGTTCCACTAAGAAAAAATTGCTCGAAATAAGAAATGTTAACGACCATAGTTTGTATAAGTCTGAGAAGTTTGTAACTGATCCCAACGCACACTTCCCTATGACGGAGTGATCGAGGCCCATCGAATGAGAACGTGGCGGCAGCAACCGGAAGTGTGCGTTGAGGATACAGATCAGGACCCATTAGCGATTAGTTGAGTGATTTTATTCTGATCGAGGCCGATCTTGTGTCAGGTTTGGCCGAGTTGTAACATTGGATAAAACAATTTCATTCAGTTAAGTTTCGGAGTCGGTAATGCAACCCTGCTCCTACTAGTTTAAGTAAATTATTGTAATGCAACCCTGTAAAGAAAATGAATAAAGAGAAAAGGAGGAAGATGGCGGTCACTTCCTTTTGAGCGAAAGAATAGAGGAAACGCATTAATTGACTAAAAATTCAATCCGCGGTAATCCGCTAGCTAAATCCAAGGTAAATAGCAATTTTACAAATGTGAATGTTTCCCTACAACGTCGTGTGTTGTGTTTGGAAGCGGGTTTTAAAGATAAAAAATGATAGTGACACTAATTTTTAAAACAAAAATCTGCGGTGATTACTACAAAAGCCCGGGAACTGTTTTTGCCGTGAAATAAGCAAACCAGTGAAAAGAGGACCGAAGGCGACTTAGTGTATACAAACGGGCAACAACAAGGCGATATGCCCGACAGCGACAAGTGCAAAGGCGCAATACGGGGAGAGACGTTGTTTCGGTGCGAAGGAGTGTGCGGAAGAGCTTATCACTCAGAAACAAAATGCTCGGGCATAGACAGTTTTAAAGCAACAGTGATTGGGACGCATCCAATAGTTAAATTCATTTGTGTGGAGTGCGTTACATACATACACAATGTTGATTTAGTTATACGTGATATTCAAGAAAATGTGCACAAAAACAACACATACTTCAGAGAATATAAAAGTGAGTTTGAAGAAGCGTTAAAAACAAACCAAATGGAAATGAAACAACTACTGGTGGAAATGGAAAAACGGTACAACGAAAGAATCGAAGCTCTAAGAGCACAGTACGAAGAGTTTTCCAAAAAAGCAGTGGAGGTTACCAAGGTAAGGGAGGCAGCAGAGCAGCTAAGAAAACAAACAGAGGCGATCGGGAAAGAGAACGTAAAATTCTGCAACGAAATGAGGAAAATGGTAAAGGAAAATAATAACGACATACGACAGCAAATGTCATATGCAAACGCGGTAAAATTGAACAAGCAAGCAACCAAGGAAGTACCGGAAATAACGAAGCGAACTCCTATTATTGTGAAGCCAAAAACAAAACAAAATAGTGAAACAACTAAAATGGATTTGAACAGCAAAATTAACCCTGAAGATATCCAATATCAAAACTGGTAAAAATGGAATAATGGTTACTGAAAGTGCAAATGAAGTAAAGCGAGACAAAATTAAATCAATAATGGAGAAGAATATAAGTGATAAATACGAAATTAAAATACCGCAAACTTACAGACCAAAGTTCGTAATAACAGGGATGAATTTTGAGATACGATAACGAACTCATCGATTGCTTAAGAAAACAAAATAAATGCTTAGAAAAAGGTGACATGAAGATTAAAAAACAATATGTTATAAAGGGAAAGCACAATAAATACCATAATGCAATAGTTGAGACTACTGAAGAGTTCTTTGCGAACGCCTTTAAGCAAGAAAAAATCAACGTAGGATGGGAACGTTGCAAATTATTTGATGCAATTGACGTTACAATGTGCTTTAAATGTAAGAGTTACAACCACAAAGCTGCAGAGTGCAAAAATGAAGAAATTTGTGGACAATGCCTGGGAAAACATCGAACAAAACTCGACGAAAAAAAGAAAAGAATAGGATATTAGCAGCTAACGATAAGTGAACTGAAAACACCTTCTGAAGGCAACGGGAAACCACTGAGGGAATATCTTCCCAAGAAAATTACATACATACATGAACCAAATAATCGGACAACTAAACATAATAATACAATGCAAATAGCAACGTGGAGCGTACGCAGTTTATACGAAGCTCGCAAATTAGACAACACTATTAAAGAATTTAAAAGACTAAAAATAGATATACTTGGCATAAGTGAGACATGGTGGCCGCTAAACGGGCAAATACAACAAGACGGCGTAAAACTTTATTATTCCGGAAATGAAACACAAAGACACAGAAACGGAGTAGGTATAATGATGAACAAAAAATGTTACGATAACGTTAAAGTGGTTCCGTTCTCTGATAGATTAATGCTTATAAAATTAAAAGGAAAACCAATTAACCTTAATATAATACAAGTTTATTCCCCAACCGCTGATTGTACTGAAGACGAGATAGAAGATTTTTATTCAGACTTAAACGCTATAATAAAAACAACAAAGAAACACGAAATTAATATACTAATGGGAGATTTCGAAGCCAAAGTAGGTAAAGAAGCAAACAATAAACGTAACAGGTGAATTTGGACTAGGCGGCCGTAATGAACGTGGAATCCATTCCCACGACAGCCGGTTCTACGTACCGGAATGACTCGGGTTTCACCCGACCAAGGGCTGTTGTTTCGGCGATCTAACCCCGTTTAGGTCGGCGAAGTATCTCAGAAGTTGTCCGTCCATAGGGCAACATTCACTACGCATTCTCCTACTCAGGGCTGGCATCGAGTCAAACCCTGGGCCAGAAATATACACCTGCTGTGTATGCCGAAGACGATTACACCACAACTCCACCTCAGTCAAGTGTAATGCCTGCGAGGGGTGGAGTCACCTCAGGGTCTGCTCGGGACTACGGACACACAGACGTCTTACGTGGCCCCCTGTTGCTCAAACAGAGCAGCCTCCACGGCAAACGATAGTCCGCCCGTGCAGCCCCACACACTCACACAGCAACCACACACAGTCGCCACTACACAACAACATAATAACACCACAGACCGTACCACAGCCACCACAGACCACATAACTCACACAACCGCACCACCACCCACACGCCGCCGCCAACAACTCCTGGTTCCCCCTACAATCTGCACGGTATGTCAGACCAGAATATTCCGTAATGTGACATCAGTCAAGTGCAACACCTGCCTTGGCTAGTGCCACTTTAGGGCATGTTCAGGTCTGCGTACCACGCGAGATTGGACGGAGGAGCACCTGAAGACTTGTAATTTCACCTCTGGTGTGAGCAAGCTTTGGTCAACCGTGAGGTCATTGTCTAATCCGACGAAGCACGACGACAGAGTCGAAATTTCCTTCGGCGACCATGCTTCGTCGGACCCGGAGAGATGCGCGAGCTATTTTAGCCGGCAGTTCATACTGCATCCTCCGGTAGACAAAGCCAAGCGTCGAGTGACCAGAAGGCTGCACAAACTGCCAACAAATTGTGCCCCCCTTGCTTTCACTTGCGGTGAAGTTCAGGTGGCCATCGGGAAGGCGAAAGCCTCCAAAGCCATGGGTCCCGACGGAATATGCATGCTGATGCTGAAAAATTTGGGTCCTGTGGGGGTAGCGTACCTAACGGAGGTCCTCAACCTGTCAATGGCCACTCTCATCATCCCAGACATCTGGAAGGTGGGGAGAGTGGTCCCACTGCTCAAACCGGGGAAACCCGCCAACAAAGGAGATTCGTATCGTCCGATTACACTCCTTTCCCCGGTAGCGAAGACACTTGAGGCCTTGCTACTCCCGTACTTCACAAACCACCTGACCCCAGCGAAGCATCAGCATGGTTTCCGTAAAGTGCACAGTACAACAACAGCACTTAACGCCATAAACACTCAGATAACTCGTGGCCTTAACCGCAACCGTCCCTGTGAGAGAACGATTCTAGTAGCGTTGGACTTGTCAAAGGCGTTTGACACCGTCTGCCATTCCACGCTGCTAGAAGATATAGAGACCTCCTCTCTCCCACAGAGGCTCAAACGGTGGTCGGCAAATTATCTGAGTGGTCGACATTCGTCGGTAACATTTAGAGACAAAACGAGTAAGCAGCGAAAAATAAAACAGGGGGTTCCTCAGGGTGGTGTCCTTTCCCCGCTACTGTTTAACTTTTATATTTCAAAGCTTCCTCAACCACCAGAGGGAGTCTCGATTGTCTCCTATGCCGACGACTGCTCGATCATGGCGAGTGGGAATGGAATTGATGACCTGTGTTTGAAAGTAAACGGCTATCTCTCCGAACTTTCTCGCTTCTTCACTGCAAAGTGTCTAGCCCTCTCCCCTACGAAATCCTCCGCGACCCTGTTCACAACCTGGACGAAGGAGGTCAGGCTACCGCTGGGGATTCACGTCGATGACACACCAATTCCGACGGTGAATAACCCCAAAATACTCGGAGTAACATTCGACAGCCTGCTCTCCTTCTCTGCGCACTCAAACGCTATTGTCAATAAAGTACAGAGCCGCAACAAGGTCCTCAAGTCGCTAGCCGGCAGTACTTGGGGCAAAGACAAAGAAACGTTGCTGGCAACATACAAGGCAATAGGCCGGCCGGTTTTGAACTACGCAGCGCCAGTGTGGTCGCCAGGGACTAGTAGCACGCAGTGGACGAAGCTACAGACGGGACAAAATACGGCACTTAGGACAGCGACGGGATGCCTCCTGATGTCGCCAGAACATCACTTGCACGGCGAGGCGCAAATGCTCCCAGTTAAGGAGCACAACATAATGCTCTGCAAGCAGTTCCTGATCGGGAGCCACAGAAGTGGCCACCCAAACAGACAGCTGCTTGCAGAGGAGCCCTCGCCTAGGCACGTCAGGAGGCATCTATATGAACTGACGGACGAAGTCCAGAGGTTCATTAAGCAACCTCTGGACCCGACAGCGTACAGACAGGCCCTGAACGTCATTCACAGGGACTCAGTCTCGAGTTATGTAGACTCTAGACCTGTGAATGCCGTTCTAGGCATACCACCCCCGGACATTGACGAGACAGAGCTTCATCTGCCTCGGGAGACACGCACTACACTTGCTCAACTTCGCTCCGGCTACTGCAGCAGGTTAAATTCCTACTTGAGTAGGCTGAATGAGGATGTGCCGAACGAATGTCCGGCATGCCGAGAGACCCCACATGACTCGAACCATCTCTTCGCATGCCCGGAAAACCCGACAACCCTAACGGCCCTGTCCCTGTGGACAGATCCCACAGAAGCTGCACGCTTCCTAGGGTTGCCGTTAGTGGAACTTGACGACAACGACTGAGATACCAACCGATCTGGGCGGGGTTGTTGTAGCCGCTACAACAACAACAACAACGTGGAAATCTACTAATTCAATTTTGTCAGGAAGAAGACTACATTATAAGCAATACAATATAAGCAATAAGCAATACATTCCCACGACAGCCGGTTCTACGTACCGGAATGACTCGGGTTTTACCCGACCAAGGGCTGTTGTTTCGCCGATCTAACCCCGTTTAGGTCGGCGAAATCCATCAAACGTTGCTAGATCCTAGGGCTACCTTCTCCGCACCCTTCTGCTCAGGGCTGGCATAGAGGCAAACCCAGGGCTAGAAATCTACACCTGCTGCGTATGCCAGAGACGACTGCATACAAACTCCACCTCGGTCAGGTGCAATGCCAGTGACGGGTGGAGTCACCTCCGTAACTGCTCGGGCCTGCGTTCGTACCGGCAATGGACCACGTCGTTCGGGGCCCCATGCTCCACGGCAAACCACCACCCGCCTGGGCAGCACACAATCAACACACCCACACCCCAACACAACACAACAATAGACACACAAACAAACACAATAGCACCCACACACCGCCGCCGGCAACTCCTAGTCCCTCCGACAATCTGCTCTGTTTGTCAGTCCAGAATATACCGTAACGTGACATCAGTCAAGTGCAACTCTTAATAGCTAACAATTGTCAGCGCTGGTCTGATAAACAGCGTATCATGGCGACCTATGCTGACTCTAGCATCAGACCATCTGCCCATAGTCATCTCGATCGATAAACCTGCCGACTTTGCTTCCGTGGATCACCGGACTTATGTCAACTTTTCCAAAGCTGACTGGAAAGGCTTCACGGATGTTACTGAGGACGCCTTCACTGCACTACCCATACCAACCGACGTTCATGTAGGTGAACGTAAGTTCCGCAGGGTTGTCACCGCTGCTGCAGCTCGCTTCATCCCAGCAGGATGTATTAAGGATCCACGTCCGAATTTTCCTGCCGAAGCGGTTGTTCTAGCTGATGAGCGCGACAACCTTCGTCAGGCCGATCCCGGAAATCCCCGTATTAGGGATCTCATTTCGGAGATTCAGCAACTTGTGAAGACCTGCAACTTCGCCTCTGGTGTGAGCAAGCTTTGGTCAACCGTGAGGTCGTTGTCCAACCCGACGAAGCGCGACGACAGAGTCGAGATAGACTTTGGTGGCCACGCTTCGTCGGACCCGGAGATGCGCGAGCTATTATAGCCGGCAGTTCATTCT